TTGTATTATTCTCCAATCTTCATTCTCATCTCCTTCACTCTCATCTCCTTCACTCTCATCCTCTCATCCCCTGAAAAGAAATCTTTTAAGAGATGTTCCTCCTCCACTACCCCTCATACTCAGATAAAGTGTGTATTTATCCATGAGTCAGATCAGCTCTTCATACCCCTATCACAGTCTCCCCATTTTTAGTAAAGGTGTTTTGATTCTGGTTTGGGAGTGGTAGGACTTATACTAAGTCTATATGATGTTCAGCTTCTTAATCCATTTTGGTACATTAACAGCAGTGACATACTACCTTGGTAGACTCAAACGGCAACACAATCTATTGTTTCAAACCCTTGAGAGTATTGGCTTCAGTCAATGGGTAATAAAGCCCAAAGCAGAAATAATGCTTATTCCAGTCAGAACCCATTTGAAGCCACCTGCAGTTACTGGTAAGGGTTCTACTAACTTACCTACTACCTCTTGTCCTTGAGAATCTTACCCAAAGACTCTTAAGGCAATTCCTTTCCTCTTGGCATTCTGGGCTGTGTTTTACCAAATGAGAAAAGAATGTAACATTTTTCTACCCATCATTGCACAGTTTGAGCACTTCTATGCTCTTGTTTCATATACTAAGAAACTAGTTCCAGGGGCCAGAACAAGCCTCAGTCCTTGCATTCAAAACTCCTTTTGAGTCAGCAACATAGTTTTCCAAGTGGGCATCTACATAACCCATTTTGATTCTTCTTCAGAATTCCTACAGAGATTTCTAAAATTGCATTCCCGACGGAGAGATATTCCTAATCATCCAGTTATTGAAAGCCCATTTGATTGGCCATTCAGCAAGACCATTGACAAATCCCATTAGCCTATAAATATCCAAACATTACTCTAGGGGTGGGAGTGCCAAGTTTCAGTATTCTCAAATATAATGCCTTCTTTAATGCCCATTGTGTGGATTTACCCTTTACCATTCTCAGGGTTAATGGTGGCTGGTTTTCGGACTGACTTATACCTTTCAGTGAAGGATCAGCACATCAGGCAGCTTTCTTTGCTATAGCAAAGAGAAAATCACAATGTCTAGGCGATTCAGCAATAGAAGCTGGCCATTTGGGGGCTTTTGTCATTGGCCCTAAAGGGACAGCTACAACCTGTTCTTGGATACAATATTCTCTGTCCCTTCCCCTCCTCCAGAGCTGCCATCAAGTATGCACCTGTAAGTACCATATCCATTTTATCAGTGAATTCTGCTGAGTTGCTCTGTCTTTATTGGCAGATTTCTCTGATATTGCAGCTATTCGGGGGCTTAGAATTATTTGATGTCCCAGTGATAGGATCTGTGTCCACCAAAGCCCAGTAACAGATCAACGATTGATTCCTGAAAGAATTATATGAAGTTGCTGCATCCAGTGACTTACAGTTCTAAATTTCCAGTATTTTATGCTTAGATGCAATAGCAGCAGAGACTCTAATCTGCATACATCCATTTGATGATACTTCCAAAATGATGTGTGCTTTAATTAACGTTAAAATATTCACTATGGGGGCCGGCCCGGTGGCGTAGTGGTTAAGTGCGCACGCTCCGCTTTGGGGCTCACAGGTTAAGATCCCGGGCTCACACTGACGCACGGCTTGTCAAGCCATGCTGTGGTGGCATCCCATATAAAGTAGAGGAAGATGGGCATGGATGTTAGCCCAGGGCCAGTCTGCCTCAGCAAAAAAGAGGAGGAGTGGCATCGGATGTTAGCTCTGGGCTAGTCTTCCTCGCAAAAAAAAAAAAAAAAATCACTATGGATGGAAATTGAGCAATCTGAAGGTTCTCATTTAGCATGACAAATTAAAATTGAGCAAAAGGTAAGTGACCTATTTAATCTAGAATCCAGTAACGGCAAAGCTCTCTATTTTACATAATAAATGCATTCCAATTACGGGCTCAGGTTTAGGTGACACCACAACAAGATGTCTCTTTCTTTCTTGCTCTCCGATCTGCAGTTTCTTGTTAACTCTAATGCCTTCCACTGCAGTAGCACTGTACCCTCCAAGTTGTTCTTTTGGCTTTCAGATATTGCCCTCCACAGCTTCAAGTTCTTATATGGCCTTGTCTCTTCTTAATAGGAGGGTTATATAAGGGGCCCAAACCTTTATTGACATACACTATTATTTGGTTCAGGGTTGTATCACCCAATGAGGGTGGCTCATTACTGGTTATCATATCATAAACCTGAGGCTGCTCGTATCCACAATATTTCAAATGCTTCAGAAGGACTATTCCACTTTTCAGTAGGTGACAGAATTGCAGCTTTGACTCTCAAAGCACAAACCCTCTGTATTCCCACCTTCATCAACCCCAAAAGAGGTAACATTTGTACATTTAAAATTCTGGGGAATTGTCTGGATACTGAGCATGGCAACCAACAGAAAATTAATACTCATCCTGAATAGTCCCCTTCCTTCTATTGTGTTTACCATCCAATTATTTGCCCCTTGATTGTTTAAGCAAAGAAATGAAGATAGCAAAGATTCATAGGCAGTTGATGGTACTTTTCAGCCAAGTGGCCCAACTCTCCCCTGGCCTATTACCATATAGTATTTAGATGGTGCAATTAATAATAAAGAGTCATAAGGAAGCAGCCTCATGAGGAATCATTCTATCTTTCCAAGTTCCCAGTAGAACTTCAGGCAAACAATGAGACACATTTTGTTTGTTTTATACACTAGTCTCATTTTACCTTGTTTTGTGTTTCATTTTCTTTCCCTTCCCTGTCAGTGATTTCATTTTCATAAAGTGATTAGCAGAAACAGGGGTCTCCTACTTCCCCCCTCATTCGGCTTCTTTATTTCCATCCATTTTGCCAAATTTTTAAGGGTCAAAGCTGTATCATGCCGTCTATGGATAAGATTGTTCTTCAGTAATCTGCTTTAGAGCTTTGGCTACTTTAAACCAAGGGTACGGTGACAATCATTTGGCATCAAAATCTCATAAAATCCTCAATACTCATTTTTTCCTCCAAATGTTTCTGATACATTGATTGGGGGGTCCAAAAGTCACTGCTTATATTGCTCTGCATTGCCCAATTCACTAGACTGGCATTATTGCTCTAGGGTCTAGAGTCTAGGGTCTTGGGTCTGGATTTAGGGAAGTGAGGCTTAAATTCTAAAACTCTCCATTCTTAATTAGTTAGCTCTTGCATGACATCAATCCCTATTTAATCTCTTTCAAACTATATATATATATTTGTAATCTTTAGAGCATAGGAATATTGGAAGATAAATGAGTGACAGTCATAGGAAATACTTAAAATTTCTTATAATTCGGGATTCATCAAGTCCAAAAAATAGGAGAGTCATCCCAATTATATTCTGCTACTTGCCCATTTTATGTAAGGGATACAACAAAATTAGTGGAGTCCCTTGTCCATGAATCACTCACAACACAAATTGTTGAAAAATTTTTCAATATGCTAAGAAAAGGGACAGAATAGTATCTCCTTGGTTTAGCTTAACGTATTTGGATGAGTAGAGGAGAAAAGAATTGCAATATAGGAAGTGAGAAGCTGCCTGGCACTAAATCTGAGAATCAGTCATACTAATATTAGCATAAAAAATGATTCTTCTCAACTGTCAAGAGAAACATGACTTTGCAGCCAAATATTTTATTTTATTTTGGGGGCCACAAGGCAGAGAAATGAGCTTTCTCTTCAGAGAAATGAATCTTCACATTAGACTATCATCAATAGCCCTATATTTCTAGTTTATTCATTCATTCATTTTATTTATTCCATTTTATCCTGTATTCCCACTTCCGATTTCCCTTTCCACTATAGGCAATCTTTCCAATGTGTCTGTTACACAAATATTTAATATTATATTTATATTTACCTTTTAAATATATGTTCTTTTAACACTTGTGTACTTGTTCTGTGGGCAAGCATATTCAATTTACATAAACTATTGTATTATAGCCTTGCATATGTGGGTTTTTTTTAAACTTTGTTCTACCTAACACTTTATTTTTAAGATTTAAGAATATTTTGGGGGCATGTTTAAGCCATAGTGCCTCTCTGCTGCTAGTCTTCCATAGCATGCACACACACCGTTGACAGTGACTTCCCCATTGATGGGTATGTAAATGATGAACATCTTAGCATGTCACGTCTCTGTGGGAGAATTTCTCTGGAGTATTTCCAGGTCTTGAGATATACATATTCCTAATTTGACTGAGTACTGTCAGATTGCACTGGCCTCATTCCCATGGCACTAGCACTTACTTATAATTAAATTTGAAAACAACATTTTAAGATTTTCAGAAATTATTCTCATGTGGCCAGAAAGAAAATGAGACCCAGCAATACTAGACAGAATGAATTTGGGGTTAGAATTCTATGACTTGATGATTATTTCTTAAATGTGTTTGACAAGGCTCCTGGACAATTCACCATTTATTGAATATTCTGAGAGACTGAAAGTAGGTTGACTGCCTGAGGGGTAATGAGAACACTTCACCTCTTGAATTTCCTTTCTAGATTAAATAAATACACAGAGGTTCTTGGAGAAAATGATAAAACACTGTGTACTCCCAATATACTACAGATTTAATTTTATTTTCAAATAGATTTATTTTAAGAATCCATCTATATAGAAAATATATATCCTGCCCCTCCCAAAGTCAGTTATACAATAGAACTCTCCAGGCAAAAGAATATAAAAGTATGTTGGATTTTAGTGAAAATAAAAATTCTCAGAAATTTTATAAAGTACAAATTATAATTTCCCAAGTAAAGTAATATCTTGTCTCCTCATATAGAGCTTCTTTATTTATCAGGTCTCATTCACATATTTAGTCATAAAGAGTATCTTTTTCCATTACTCAAATATTCATTCATTAAAAAAATATTTATGAAATGTCTGCTACATAATCTCTACTGTTCTAGGTGCTGAGAATTCATGTGTGTCTGTTTCTTTTTATATATAAATTAAGATGTATACATAAATACAGACAGAGACAAAGACATATAAAGAGATAGACATCTACAATGGATTGTATTGGATCCCCAAAACTATAACATAATGTTACATAACAATGAGTTAGTCACGAATAAATCTGAGGGTGCCGTGAAGAGAAAAGCCAAAGCTTTTGTCCTCCGTGAACATCAGCATTCCTCTATGCTATTTTTATTCCCGAGATGATTCTGAGGTGGAGGAGGCCCCTGGGTCATTTCAGGTATCTTCAGCAAGAACAAAACGCATAGCCAGTAGAGATTGGTGAATATATATTCAATAATTTCTATAATTGTAATCATACTGGCCCCACAAAATAGGCCCAATTGACCACCAACATCTGCTGTAATAAAGCCAATAAAGAAATGGAATAAATTATGCTTTTTCACAAAAAGTAAATTAAACATTGCTAGAATTTAAATTATTTGAAGCTAATAAGTTAATCATAATTGATATTACATAAAGATGAGTGAATTGTATTATTTTAAGTTTGGTATAAACAAAGGAATAGTAATTAATAATATCTTAAAATAATACTCATATAAATCATCTCAAAAAGGAGAGAGAAAAAGCCAACATAAAATCTGTTTCCAAAAATATAAGTCCAAGTCTTTGGGGGATATTAAATTTAGGCAAATTTATAAAACATCCTAAACAATTACAAATTCATTTCCATGTGTTGAATGGAGAGCAGAAATGCAGCATTCAGATGGCGTTATTGGGCAATGATGTTTTCCAGAAACATAAATTTCCAAGCAGTTTGTGATTTCAAGAGTCCAAACTGCTTCTTTTTAAGCATTCGTAATATTTCATTAAACTAAAATATGGTAACACAGCACTGTCTTCTTAAGAAAATTTTAAAATCTAGATATATCTTTATTGTTTGTGCCTTTTTTATTGTGGTAAAATGTACATAACATAAAATTTACCATTTTAACCATTTTTTCTTTTTTTTGGTGAGGAAGGTTGGCCCTGAGCTAACATCTGTTGCCAATCTTCCTCTTTTTGCTTGACGAAGATTGGCCTTGAGCTAACATCTGTGCCAATCTTCCTCTACTTTGTATGTGGGTCGCCACCACAACATGACTTGATAAGTGGTGTAGGTCTGTGCCTGGGATCTGAACCTGTGAACCCGGGCACCTGAAGCAGAGTGCGTGAACTTAACCACTACACCACCAGGCCAGCCCCCATTTTAACCATTTTTAAGTGTACAATTCTGTGGCATTAAGCACATTCACACTGTTGTACAACCATCACCACCATCCATCTCTGGAATTTTTTCATCTTCCCCAACTGAAACTCTGTACCCATTAAACAATAATTCCCCATTGCCCCCTCCCCTTAGCCCCTGGTATCACCATCCTACTTTTTGTCTGTATGAATTTGACTGCACTAGCGCGGACTTCTTAACATAGATTACAATATTAAGCTTTTTCTCATTGCCCTGGGCCATTCTTAGCATCACGCTATTTTTGTAAAGTGTGGTAATCAGGTATAACTTTCCCAAGAGCTTTGAGGAATTTGTATATTTCCTCCCTATTCAGGGGCTCAGTGCCAGTGTCTGACTGCTGTCATTTTGCATGAATCTGATACCCTCTTCCGTCACCTACATGACTTCCTTTATGTGCAGTAAGATCTAGAAAATCAGCAATTAAGTTTAAGGACTGTATGATGAAGGAGTGTGAGCATACAGTGGTGATAACTTAAATGCTGAATTTTGCTTGCTCAGGCTATTCATTTCCGACCTCTCTGGGTGGAGCTCTGTGTGGAAGTCTGAGATGGCTGACATTCTACCCAGAGGTAGCATTGCTGAAACACTACACAGCAATCACTTGCTGACGGGGGATGTCTGAGGGGACAGTAAGATGCTGAGTGTGAGTATGGAATGATGAACACCAGCCTTTTCTTTGTGAAAGCCCGTGTGAAGTTTGCTGGAGATGTGCCTAGGGAGTCAAAAAGTGTTAGGTTTAAATGGCAGGCGAATGGCAGGCACTATTCATTCTTTTTCTCCATCGATAAGCTAAATCTTAAATACGAAAGGACAAAAAACTGACAGAAAATTCTTTAAACATTGAGGAACAACTAAATAACACTTACCAAGTAACTCAGACACACTCACTGCTTTTTGCTGCTGGGTTATCTTATAGTTTAAGTCACTATAGTTTATATCAATGTTCACGAGATTCTCCCTAGGGATAAAACCAGAGTTAATCTAGCTCAAGATTGTCAGCACTATTTTTTTTTTTTTTTGTGAGTAAGATTAGCCCTGAGCTATCATCCATTGCCAATCCTCCTCTTTTTGCTGAGGAAGATTGGCCTTGAGCTAACATCCATGCCTATCTTCCTCTACTTTATATGGGACACTGCCACAGCGTGGCTTGACAAGTGGTGCATTGGTCCGTGCCTGGGATCCAGGCCTGCAAACCCCAGGCCACTGAAGTGGAGCTTGCGAACTTAACTGCTAGGCCAACCAGCCGGCCCTTGTCAACACTATTTTTAATTTCTATTTGACAAAGTACAGCAATATCATTTTTTGGTTCAGGTGTTTTTTAACGTTGAATTAGACACATCATTGTATTCAATACTAATCATAGTAGTTTCATTTGGAGGGTACTGTTGTCATGTTGGTATTTAGGGAAAATAATTTTTCCCCGACCCAATAATTTTTTTATGTCACATTCCAGAGAAACTGGAAAAAGACATTAAACGTAAATATCTACAGAGTAGATGCAAACACTTAAGTGTATCTAATTTTAATTCAAATCTTGGCCCTGTTCTTTGTTACTTACATGACTCTGAAGAAACTACGTGGTTTTCTTGAGTATTGGTTTCCTCATCTGTAGTCAGGATTTTAGATTTGTGACAAGGAGAAATTAAATAATGTATGCAAAGAATTGGCCCAGAACCTGGCATATACTGAGCGTTCAATAAACGGTAGTCATTTACTTTACATCATTAATATATTAGAGCAGAGACTCTGTTTTCTTAGTGTCTTCTAGAAATCTTCATATGTGACCAGAGTGGCTAAACACTATTTTAAAATGATAGCTCTTTATGTAGTCTTGGATACCCTCACACTCTCTATCTCCCTCCCAGAGCTCCAGCCCAAACTTGAACTTCAATAATATATCCAACTGCCTCTTTGTATTTCTACTCGGATGTTCAATAGGTATTTCAAATTGATATATTCCAAGTCAAACTCATGATATGTCTCCATTTATAGTGTTATAACACCACACAGCCAATCCATCAGGAAATATTTGTTTTATCTTCAAAATATATCCAGAATCCAACGTCTCATCCCATTCACTGCTACCATCTTTGCCTAAGATCCCATCATCTCTCACCTGGATTTTTCCAATAGCTTTCTGACTGGTCTTTCTGCTTCCAACTTTAATGTACTTTACCTCAACAGATACACACCCTCTGTTCTTCACACAATAACCAAAATAATACTTCTGCAATTTGCAAATCATATCACTCTTCTGCCCAGAACTCCCCAGAGACTTCCTAGTATACTCTAAGTAAAACCCTAAAACCCTTCCATGGCCCTATAAGATTTTGTCTGCCACCTACCCCTTCACTCTGACCTTTCTCAATTCATGCCCTGCCATTCTCTTCCAATGCCTACTCTGCCTCTGGCCATACCAACGTCCATTCTATTCTTTCCATACACCAGGGATGCTGTTGGCTTAGGATCTTCCTCTGCATTTGGTTTTCCCTCCTTCTGGAATGTTCTTCCGCCATATAATATAAAGGCTAGTTCTTATATCTCCTTTAGGAGAGCAGTTTACAAAGTGTGGTCACAGACCCACAGGGGTCTCCAATATCTTTTTTGGAAGTTCATAAGGTCAAGATTATTTTCATAGTATACTAACATATTATTTGACATTTTCACTATGATTGTTATTTCAAGAAAAGCTGCACTTTTTACATGGAACACCACTTTTACTTGAAAGAATGACTGACAAACTATGATAGTGATAGTAATGATATTTAATTAAAAATTAATGCTATCAAAATGAAATTTATATTGTATAATAAAATATTTAAATATTTGGAAAATCTACATAATGCAGAAAATTTTTCTAATGACCATTAAATGATGTTCAAAATCTTGCATGGGTAAAAGATCATTCAAAGTGAAAGATCAATGGATATTAATGTAATTGAGTATAAAAAATTTATTGATATGTTTTTAATATTTCACTGCTAACTGCTTTCAAGCACCACCCTTCCCTCTTCTTGTCCCAAGAGAGGTAAACTGATAAGAAAGCCCACACGCTTCCTCTTTTGGCACCTGGGTAAGTTCAAACCACACAAACTCTGGCCCACACTGGGGATATCTCGTTGAAGTCACACCATGTAACCACAATGAAAGGCAAAGCCAATTGCCTCTCCTTGTACTTGCAAGCCAAGAGAGGATCTGCTTGGGAGTCTGCCCTACTCGCCCCAGAAAGTCTCATCATGTGAGCAATAAATTTTTGTCATGCCCTCTTGATGCACATGTGGCAACATAAGTCTCAACATCCAAATCAAATTTGGAGTGGGGAGTTGATCCTACTCCTCGCAGGGCAACCACAAAACACATATTACAATTAACGTTTAAAGAACTACCACTTATTGAGTTTTGATATGTTATCAAAGAAAAAATTCACAATATCTATAAAGGTTATTTAAATATGTCTCCCTTTGCAACTACATATCTGTTTGACGCAAGATTTTCTTTACATTTTTCAACCAAAACCACATAAAGCAACAGATTAAATGGAAAAATGAGAACCTAACTGTCTTCTTTTAAGCAAGACACTAAAAAAAATTTACAATACTCTGAAACAGCATCACTCCTCTTCCTAAAATTTTGTTTTGGAAAATAGTTATTGTTTGTAAAAAACTTTTATTTATGTTACCATACAGTAAGTTTATTACTGCTGATTTAAATGAATTAACAGTAAAAATTTTCAGTTTAAATTTCTAAGATGGCAAATACTGACACTTAAAACTCATTGGACTCCTCAGTAATTTTTAAGAGTACAAAGGGACCTTGAGATCAAGAAGCTTGAGAACCACTGCTTTAAAGTCTTTGCTCAATTGTCACCTTCCCAGGAAGGTCTTACCTGATCACTATCCATAGCCCTGAGAACAGTCGTCCCTGACTCTGGCTTCTCCACACCCTTTTACTGCTTCCTTGCCCTCCACAGTACTTAGCACCATCTGACATGACTATATATATATATTTGTTTCCATCTCCACCTCAATGGAAATAAGTGCAGGAGGCAGGGTTTTTGTCTCTTGTACACTGAGGTATCCCTAATGCCTAGAGTATCCCCTGAATCCTGACACCAAATAGGTGCTTATTATGTATGTGTAAAATGGACAAATAAGGGAACAAATTACGATGAAAGCAATGAATGAATGGACAAATATTAACCTGTCTGTCGTATAAGTTGAGGTGCAAACCACCCACCTGATGATTTGCAGATGGCAGTAACAATTGTCATTAAGAACGGAGCCTTCAAAAAGAGAAGGAAAAAACAAGTGTCGGCAAGGATGTGGAGAAAAGGAAACCCTTGCGCATTGTTGGTGGGAATGTAAACTGGTACAGCTATGGAAAACAGTATGAAGTTTTCTCAAAAACTTAAAAATAGAAATACCGTATGATCCAGCAATTCCACTTCTGGGTATTTATCTGAAGAAAATGAGAACAATAACTAGAAAAGATCCATGCACCCCCCAGTTCATTGCAGCATTATTTACAGTAGCCAAGATATGGAAACAACCTAAGTGTCCATCAACAGATGAATGAATAAAGAAAATGTGGTGTACACACACACACACACACACACACACAACACACACGCGCGCACACTGGAGTACTATTTAGCCATAAAAAAAAGAATAAAATCTTGCCATGTGCAACAATTTATGGATGGACGTTGAGGGAATTATGCTAAGTGAAATAAGTCAGACAGAGAAAGATAAATATCATATGATTTTACTTATATGTGGAATCTAAAAAAACAAAAACCAAACTCATAGATACAGAGAACAGGTTGGTGGGTTGAAATGGGTGAAGAGGTGGGCAGATGGGTGAAGGGAGTCAAAAGGTACAAACTTCCAGTCATAAAATAAATAAGTCATGGGGATGTAATGTACAGCATAACAATTATAGTTAATAATACTGTATCACATATTTGAAAGTTATTAAAATAGTGGATGTTAAAAGTTATCATCACTAGAAAAAAATTTCCTAGCTATGTATGGTGATGGATGTTAACTAGACTTATGGTGGTGATCGTTTCAGAATATATACAAATACCAAATCATATGTTGTATACCTGAAATTAGTATAATGTTGTATGTCAATTATACCTCAATTAAAAAAAAAAAGAATGAATCCTATTAGCAATGTTTCCTGGAATTATGTGGTGTGCTTGAATATATCTAAGGAACACGGCTGTAAATCACTCTCTTTATTGTTTACAGTTTTAGAAATCAATATTCCCAAATATACTTAATTCAAAATATATCATTAATTTGTTTACTTAATTTCCATTGGTTTAACCCTGGGTAATAGGAGAATGTGCTATGTTTAACTAGATAATCAGCGGGTATAACAATATTTACAAATAATAAAGCAGTTGCCAAAGTGAAGGAAATAATAAAGTTGTCTTGGAAGTCCAGAAATTTTAGTAATATTGCAATCTTTTTATCCTCCATTGTGCTCCTAATTTACATGTACGCTGATAATATTGTTTAATTTCCCAAGCACAAAACTCATAACCATTTCCAAGCATTATCCGTCTATGTTTTTGAGAGAAGATAAATTCATCCCACACAAAGATATTGTGATATTTACTCAGCTTCTCTCAGGCAGGTCACGTGCCCAGTAATTTGAGTCTCACTGAATCTGTCTAAAGGTAATAGTGAAATTGTCCAGGATTTAAGGCCAAGAATATTTGTTTGTGTCAGGAGAGGCAAAATTATTAAATAAAATCTGAATTTTAATAAGGGTAAGGAGATCAAAGAAAAATTGTATTTGTTACATTTACAAAACACTAAAGAAATGCTTCCAGATGCTTGAGTATGAGGGCTGCATTAGGGGAATGAACTGTTTTTGCATAAAGCAAACAATGTTATCCAAGTTTTACTTGAAAATTTGTTAAACTAAGACAACAATTTACAAAAATCACTTATTTTATGAATGAAATCGGCCTCAATTCAGCCACAAGTTACCCTTATCTTCACCTCCACATTGCCTGCTTCAGTCAAGCTAAGCTTCTTATCTTCTTAACGGGGTTCAGCAGCTGCCACATGAGGCCCTGAATTGGTCATCGTCTGGGGTTGGTTAGTACCCCAGGAAAAAACACACACTGGCTTCATGATTAAGTTAGGGGTTGCTTCGTTTTAAATCTGACTGCTACTAAGTTTTCACATCTGCTCTCCTGGCAAACTGCATTTGTGCTTTCTAATTTACTGCTCTTTGATTTCTGGCACCTGTACATAAACCAGTTACTAAATCATATGTGTGACTTCTAGCTACGGGTTCTATTTAGGATTTGGACACCCATGTGTCCAGCTACATTTATGCAGCCACCTGCCTTAGTCCTCCTAGTAATGGTCTGTATGATTTACAACGATGTAAGGTCCCTACAAGTCAATTATGTGATAAGACTAATTGGAGAGCTATTTACAACAATCCAAGCTTTACAAAAAAACCAGTGTTCTCTACAGTCATCTTATTTTATACATGGGTTACTTTTCTGATTCACCGATACTTCTCCAAAATCGTGCCTACATTCTCTGCATATTATTAAGTAATTACAAAAGTCAGGAGCTATCTATCAGCCAAAGCCACACACAGTGCTCTTCTCAGTCATATTTAAGTATAACAGGGATAATACTACAAGTATGCCAGTTTCCCATATTAAAATGGAATACAAAGAGACGTCTGGACTTCAGTCTGGAGACTGAAGTGTTAACAAAGATATGATTGTAAATTTCCTAGCTTTCCATCTTTTTATCTGCTAAGTGTCTGAAATCATACCCATCAACCCTATCTTAATGAAAATACTTTTTCTTCCTGATTTGTAAAGATCATTTTATTGTCTAGGCATTTACATGAGGAGAGCAGTGTTTTTAATACATTAAAATGAATACCAGGCTACAACTGGAATCCAAACATGCTTTCAAAGTTAGGTACTTTTCCGTGCAAAGTTAGTCAGCTTTTAATTAGTTAAACTATTTATATTATAATACATATACATACAAACACCAATGTGCTACATTGCTGTTTTAGATCCTCGGCTTGAAAATATACATAAAAAACAAAGAGAAACATTAAGGTTGCTTTCTGATTTTAAAAAAGAGAGTTCTTTATGAAGTTTGATTTGTAATTTCTAAGAGGCAGTATGGTGCAGCAGAAAGAGACCTAATTTAATCCTCACTTAATCAGAATTGGAACCATACATCTCTGTGGAAAATACATGGAGACCAGAGTCATAGGTCTTGGTCATAAGTTCTTTCTGTGCCTCTGACTACCTTAATAGGACAGTTACTTGAAATACAGTGTGCTTCGGTTTCCTCATCTGTAAAATGAGAATAATTATTTGTGCTCCATAACTATGTAATATGCAGGTATGGAATTTTCATATTTTAAAGCGTTAATTGATATCAGTCAGCATTGTTATTTTCCCCAGTTGGGCCAATAAAGGCAAGATCATGAGCAAATTACTCAAGCAGGCCTCATTTTACTTTTCACACAATTAAATGAAAGGATGGAAAGATGTGATTTTTATCTACTTTTAAAACTCTAGGCTTTCATTGTTAGTTCAGTGATGTAAGCCACTGCTTCCTTTGACTGATCAGAACTTTATTTCCTGAGTCTTTGAAAGTTTTGAGTAAAGAAACTATTCGTGTTAATTACAAATAATTTGCAAGACTCAAAAGATTACCTGATATATTTCTGGCTTCGATTCAACTTCTTGGAAAGATATTTCAAAGCTGTTAGACTTGGAAAAGTAGAATAAGAAATAGTGGCAGGGTATCCTGTTTCTTCACAAGGAACAGGGCAGCTAGAATTATGTGTTCCCATTGTACATAATCCCTTAACTTCAATGTGGTCTGAAATGAAAATTAAGACAGGATATTCAGAAAAGAAGACTATTTCACAGTGGGAAGAATAGAGCTCTTTAAAATTTTATAATTTCACTTTCAATCCTACAAAAAGTGGTTAACAAGTTCTACCACTACTTTCTTAACAAATGGTGTTTATATTTTATTTATATTTTAGTATAAACACAGCAAAGGAGACAGAATATAAAACATAGTTGTTATCCTTGAATTCATTGAGTCACTGGATTCAGATCTTTCTTAGAAATAAGAAATCCTTTCCAGAGAGTCTTTAGGCCTATTTCCATAAAATATCAGTCATTTGGGCAGGAGAAAGATGGAAAGTTGTTTGTGTGAACTTGTGTCACCTTGAGAGGAACTTTTAAATGTAATCCTGAAAGCGAATGACTCAGGTTTAAACTAAACTTATCCTTGGGGTTGTCTCAACTTAGAAAAGTGTGAAATAACGCTGCCAGGTGTTTAGAGCCATTTATTTCTGTGGATCCCAGCGACTTCTAAATCAGCCGTTGAGGTTCTGTCTTCGGTTCGCTCTTGGCCCCTGTAGAGCAACCAGGCTGTCCACACAAATGTGTACTGGAAAATGTTTCTGCAGGAGGTGGTATTTGTCTCCAGCTTTCCTTTGGATCACCTCCCAGTGCCCAATCTCACTGCTCCTCACTCTTGGTGGATATTCCGGTTCTTGTTTGTTACTGAATTCTTTGTTCTTGTGACCCTTTTTTCACCAAGACACCCTAATAATGATCAACTTTGGGCTTGTTTTCCAGACTAACTTCGCTACTTTTTCAGGGCATGACTTTAGCATGCATCCCTTAGTTCTTTAAGACTACTGGTAATAAACACTACTTTTTCCCTATACTCACACATACACGTATACTCACAAACACACACACACACACACTCTCATATACTCACACACACATACTCTCACACACTCACACACACATTCCCATACACACACCCACACACATTTCCACACACACAATCACACACACACACACACATTTCTGATCCCATTATCCCACAACAGTCCCTGAAGAACTGCATGCATGATTTGTTTCCAAAAGCTTCCCTGCCAACCCCCATTAGGGATAGGAAATCACAAGAAATTTGGCAACATAACTTCAATTCCATTGGTTAGTAACAAGACTTCTGCATAAGGCATACCTCAGAGATACTGTGGGTTTGGTTCCAGACCACTGCAATAAAGCAAATATTGCAATAAAGCAAGTCATGCAAATTTTTTTGGTTTCTCAGTTCATATAAAAGTTATGTTTACATTATATTGTAGTCTATTAAGTGTGCAATAGCATTATGTCTAAAAAATTATGTATAAATCTTAATTTAAAAATACTTTATTGCTAAAAAATGCAAATGCTGTTGGAAAAATGGCACTGATATACTTGCTTGACTCAGGGTTGCCACAAACCTTCAATTTGTAAAAAATGTAATATCTGTGAAGTGCAATAAAGTGAAGCACAATCAAATGAAGTATGCTTTATTCAGCTTGTAAGCTATTAAAAAATATATAAGATCCCTTCTACCCATACCCATTCCGTGAAATATTTTACAATCATTAAAAAGGATCTGTTAAATCTATTCCTGCTGTCCTGGAGATAGTTCCATAATGGGTTAGAGAAGCAAGTTTCATAGAAAGGAATATAATATGATTCCATTTTAATAAAACAACCAATGACTATAAATATGAAGCTGTTTATGTGGAGAAAATTATGGTAGAATATACTAGAGAGTTAACATTGGTTGGGAGTTAAGATAAGAGATATGTAAGCAAAAAAGATGCTGTTTAAGAAGTTGTCCCCTGTAAATATGGCATGTATGGTTGTGATTCTATTTATGTAAAAATTTTACATATGTATTTATATATAATATATGTATAATGAAAGGAATGAATGAAAGAATGATCACCTAAATAGTGATAGTAATTCTCAGAGTGATGCAACTTCTACTGATTTTCCAACTATTCTTTTTTTATCCTCTTTTTGCTGAGGAAGACTGGCCCTGAGCTAACATCTGTCAATCTTCCTCTTTTTTGCTGAGGAAGACTGGCCCCGGGCTAACATCCATGCCCATCTTCCTCCACTTTACATGAGACGCCGCCACAGCATGGTTGCCAAGCGGTGCCTCGGTGTGTGCCCGGGATCTGAACCCAGGCCGCCAGCAGCAGAGCACATGCACTTAGCCGCTACACCGCAGGGCCGTCCCGCCAATGATTCTTTTCTGTTCTGTAGTGTTTGAACTAGTCACAAGTATGTTTTATTTATGTTAATCTACAAAGTTATTTTGATTATAAAAAAGTATGGAATTTAAAACACAACATAAAAATTTAGAAATAAAACCCAGAACTTTCTTGCTGTTACTTTGTCACTGCATATCTTTAATTCAGATATATCTTGAAATCAGAGGAGTTTTTTGTTTTGTTTTACTATCTATGTCTATGTAAGCTGCTATTCTTAATTTTAAAAATATTGAAAAAACTCCCTCTTATAGTCTCTATTCTGTTTCCTTTCTGGACTATCTATAGTATGATTTAATGTCTTTGAGCAACTTTCATATAAATCCTGAAAATAAATTAAGCCACTTACCAAGTGTAGGAGAAACGCAGTTGTAAAACTTTCGTAGGTCACACTCTATCCCATTTCCTTAAAAATAATAAGTGTAAATATAGAGACTTTACATTTTATGAAATAAGTGACATACTGACAAAAATATCTTTCTTGTATCCATCCATCCATCTGTACATTTATTCTTTTGCCAAAAAAAGTATGAAAACATGTTAATCCCCAATGAAAATATACATTGGGAGGAAGAATAATAAAGTTTTTTGTTTATGTTCATGTTTCCTTCCATCTGTCCATATCATTCTAAGATCTTTTAAGTGGGAATAATAATTTTAAAATGTTGGTAGCTTTGAAATTTAAAATTACTTTAGCATTCAACATCTCATTTGTTCCTACCCTAATCCTGTGATGTGGCAATCATTTTACAAACGAAGAAACTAAGGGTCAGAAAGTGGCATGCTCAAGCAGTTAGAGAGGCCTTGGCTCACTCTGTTTACTTTCTATCCTGCTCCCTTTATCCGTTGATTTAAATATATATATTTACATATTCACACACTCACACACCTCGTGGGCTGCCATTCTAGCAGTAGGATGGGGCAGAAAAGCGCTAATATTTGTTAAGCACTTGCTGTGGACCTTAAGACAAATTGTAAAACCAATATGTAACAGAGCTGGGTTTAGTCCCAGGCTGATTCTAAAGCCTTAGTCTTTGCACCTTAATACAGTATTTGTTGCTTATCACCCATGTGGTATCTGGCGTTAGCCTCAATGTTTAGCCAGTTGTCCTGAAAATAACCAAAAGAGATTGTCCACGTACAATTTGTGGATAAGTTCAGCTATGAGGGAATACTTTTTGTGAAGGAACTGAAATAAGTAAAAAAAGGAAAAAGTCTACCTCCAGAATTAAGTTAGTGAAAAGCCTCTCTTTTCCAAAGTGTGCCTTACTTCTTGCACTGCTATTTCTCCCGTTTCAAAGAACAGTAAAATTTTGGAAACAATCCATATCTAAAAAGGTGATTTTGGGGATTGCCTCCACAAAATGTTAGTGGAGGTACTTTAGCTACTTCACTTAATGTCTACAAATCTCACTTTCCCCATCTATAAGCAGACTTAGAGGGATATGTGAGGATCAAACCAAATAAGACATTATCCTGAAAGCACTTGGTACATTCTAAAGCTCGCGCAAATGTCATGGTTTGTGTTTTGTATTTCATCTTGCCTAGTTTCTGGTCCAGTTATTCAGTTATTCATTAGTTATTCAGTTTGTGTTTTGTAAGCAGTAATGCATTTTTAGATTATAAACATTATTTTCCATCTATCAATTCAGACTTTCTTCCAGTAACTTTGGAAAGAGTATTAGGAACGACAAATCAGAGCCAGAGCTAGCAGCTTTAGAGAATGGCAGTTTTGGGGGGGCCAGAGACCAATAATCAGAATTTTGGAAAGAAGGAAGTGATGATTCTCGAAATTTCTAAGTAGTTTTCCAAGTAGAGACTGTTGTTATAAAGGGAGAAAGAGGTAGCATTAGTATATCTATGTGTGAAAAGTAGTGTAGAGTGTGTGTGTGTGTGTGTGTGTGTGTGTGTGTGTGTGATGGGCCCTAGTGGCAAACTTATACAGCCAAACTGGTTTTTCCTTTAATTAATGCACTATACATTTCTTTATAAATATGCTGGAGGAAGGGGAGGAAGGAAATCTGAATAAAAATATCCAGTGCTTATATGGAATGTATTCTGTGCCAAGCACTTTTTAAACCACTTACACACTCGTTTCATCCTCATGACAACCCTGTAAGGTAGAGCACTATCCCCCCCGTTTTACAGGAGGTACAGAGAGGTTAAGCCCAAGATCACGTAGATGAGAAATGGTAGAGTTGAGACGAGCAGCCTGGATCAGTGTCCAGCTCTCACCCATCCTGCTCCACTGCCTCATTCCACGCTTGCCTCAAATATCCCTGACTCTGGAAATGTTTCAAACTGTATGCAAAGGGAGCCTGGAGTTTTCTTTATACCCACAAAGAAAAGAATTTTCTAATAGTGAAATATTCATAGTTGGTAAGATTTATATAGATGATCTAATTTTTCTTTCAAATTGAGAAAACCATGATGAGCAGCTTTGGACATTTGAGAGCACCCAATTTTACATTTTGAAAGTAAGAATTGGGGACTAGCCCTGAGAACACAGTTTTATTTTCTTTCCAGGAATCTCTGCTATGATTCCTTGATTTAAAATCTGTCAGTTGAGGTTGTCTTTGTCAAGTGGTTGACTTGCTGGCATAGAATTTCATAAGAATGGAAAACGATTTCATGATTGTCTATTTCCCATGTTTCAAATTAAGTGACTATAGTTAAATAAGGGGAAAGTTGTCATTCTTTATTTACCAGGAAGCAGAAAAGGTAAACATCCACATTGTTTTTCCACGTGCCGTGCTTTGCATTCCTTCAAGCAACCAGAAGAGCTGTAGGTACTAAAATTCTGCAGCTTGATGTTAGGGTTGCATTCTCCCCAAGGGTATTCTTGATGAACTGTCTTAAGATCAAAGAAACACCTGGTTCAAGAGATTCATCTGAGTCAATCCACCTATTTCCACTCCAAGAACAGAGGCTGATAAACTGAGTTTACTTTTCTCTCAGAGCTCTTTTTTTTTTTAGTTGACTCTATTTGCCTATTTTGCCTACTCTGTTAACCTGAAAATCCCTGAAAGTAAATATAATAGTGGTCCTTTAACATATATCCCAATGCTCTGTGCTTGTAGTGAATCAATAAAATCAAAAAGACTAATTGCTCTAAAAATTAACTCATAGAAGGAAAAATAGTATCATTTCTGGAAACAATATGTTAGCATATTAATCAGCCCACCCACAAAACAGCAACAAAAATCACAAAAAAAGATTCTTTATTGAGCAACTATTATGTGCCAGGCATTATGATAAGTGCTGTCTTTATTTCACATACACGTCATAAGAACTATGAAAAGGAAATATTACCCCCCTCTCCACAGTGTGCAGGGAAAGATGGAAATTGAGGAAGTTAATTAAGAAGATTACAGAGCAAGTGGCTGGCGAATAGAGACCTTCCAGACGTATCTGACTCCAAGATTCCTGCTCTTCCCACTTATTTTTCTCCTTTCCAGAACGTCCCATTGAGAAGACCCACAGCTGTGTCTCCTCATACTTGCTGACCTTTTCCAACTCTAATGAAATTTCAAGTCATCTTGGATTTGCTAGGCTTGCCAGCTTTCACTTGTATTGTGTATGTGATTTCACTGTTTTTACTAAATATACGCATCCTAGCAAAGGAAAAGAATCTGAAATGAAACTGTGGAATGTCCAGGGGTGTTCTAAAGGCATGGGAGAAAGGGGTTTCTAGTGAAAAGTATTATTCACTACCCCACCGAATTCCCTCAGACTCTACATTTTGCGAATATTTACCTTCACTTGGCGGATTGTTACCCGTGCATGCATTCCCACAGGGGACGACAAGCCTAAACCATCGAACTGTGGCACCTTCTTTGGTGAATGGATAACGAAGATGACCCCAGCATCCACAAAACCAAGGGCTGGGTCATCAGTGAATTCTGCCTGAAACAAAAATCCATTTTTTTCCCAAAATTACAAATTGATAACAATTCTACACGACTTCAAGATTTAGTTTCATCCTCTCATGATAGCATTTGACTGACTTAAAATCAAATATTTCATATCACTATTCAATCTCTTTTTATACAAATGCTGTGAAAATTAAATGCCTAAAAACATACTTGTCATGGCTGAATCACATTTCAAGGCCTTGGCCGTTTTCCATAGATACTCCGCCTTAGATGAAGGTCATAGTACGTATTATGACTGTTAATTATCTGATTTCCTCTGGCCCTCTCCTCGCCTTTCAGTTGCTTCCTCCTTGGCTGTTCTCTTTGCTGCGTTTGTTTCAGAAAATCATTTGGCCCTCTTCTTCTCTTTGGGATTAAAATTTCTGACCTTATTTAAAATTCAAATTCATTTTCCCAGAAGAGAGAAGACTTAAACTATTTGTTTAACACCAGTGCTCTTCTATAATTCATATGTCAGATGGAGACATTTAAGACTAAACTGCTGGTGATTTTGTTACTAGTTGTAATTTCAGGCAATACGGAGAAGGAATGGACTCAGAATATGATGATTTTTTCCTGTGAATCGGTCAACTGCATTTGTAATTACATTTAATAAACATGCTTAATATTCCATTTGTAACTCAAGACCCTATTTCTCCTGGGTCTATTATGACTCGCTAAGAAACGCTTAACTGGCTAGTCTGGAGAAATATTTAAGTGCCATTTACTTGGGAAATGTTGCATTGAATTTGCAGATTTTAATTGCATTCTAAAAATATTTGGGAAATTCTAGATTGTAAAATTCATAATATAATGTTTGAACTGACCACATGGCTAATATTTGAATGACTTCAAAATATTAATCAAATATATATACAAGAATGGGTACATGCATTGCACTGTGTAGTACTATGTTTGAACATAACAAAAGGTATCTTGAGTAAGATACAAGGGGAAGTGTTGAAGCATACCTTGTGCGCAATTCTTTGAAAGTAGCCAATGGCCTCAGTCACTTGGATTGGGAGGTGGGGTAGTTTCATAGAATTTGGGAAGACTAGGTTTATTTCTCAACTTTGCATTAATTGTATGATTTTGGATACTTAATTCATCAGCATTTGAGAGTTTTGGTTTATGAAACCACAAAAATGGAGTAGAAATATGTGTGCAAGACAGACGTGAGAATTAACCTTGGATGGGAGCTATACGAGATACCCTTGAAGGTGACACCACTGCATTTCTCAGGTGTCTGGACATTTGCGTCCCAGGCCTCAACACTTAGGCTTCTTGAACCAATTACAAATTTACAGAAGCTAGTCTTAGGCAAGCACATTTATACAACATTCTTTACATAGTAATTTTTTCTTTTGATCGCTTTTTCAGACTGTAGATTCTGTGGTTTGTCAAATGCGTATGTATGGCTTCTTTCTAAAATATATTGCCTTATTTACATGAAAACCTTTCTAAAAATTATTCTTTAAATACATAGAGTCATTTTAAATTAACTATATACATTGTGATTTAGAAATCTCTGGTTTCTTTATTTTGCGGCATTAACATTTCCGGAGTCACAATAATGATAGTCAGTAGGATAGCTAAAAATATCCAGGTTATGCCTCTAAATTTTGCCTGTTTAATCTTTAAGTCAATAGCTGCATCCATGGGACTCTGGCTAAATTAACAAAAACCAAAATAATATCCAACATGTGGGAACAATTTAACAGGGCAAAATATTCTAATCAAATCTTTTGAAACCCCTCCCCATTCTTGTTTGTCTTGAATCCTGACTAGGTTTAAGAAAATTCAATACCTGATTGACATTGAAGAGCAAGCTTAAGCCTCTTCCAGAGACACTCGTTTCTCTCTTTGCTTGGATATTTTCACCATGATTAAAAGTGAAACAATTTCCATATTCAGTGAAGACATGTGCAAAATCCTCCAATACGAAAATGAACCAAATAAAACACAATCAGTTGGGTGTTTTGGTCACTTTTGAAGTTTAAATTGCTATAACTTTTTTTTTTTAAATCACAAATGTCTAAATGAGAATGTGGAAATAGAAAGAATAGAAAATCTCGTCATTCTTGTTTGTATTCAATGAGAGTTTTCATTTTTGTTGTAATATGCATTTGTCAATTTGTATGTGACTGAGACATTTTAACATATAAATAAGCATGTTTTTAAAGCATTTGAAAAGTAATTTGTTTTATACTTACTAAGGATTCATGGAAACATATATTTTTACCTGGGGAGAACTCTCTCAGCATCCTCTCTTTGTGGAGCCACCCCTACCCCACCATGCGTGGTCACAGTTGGGCAGCCAATCACATTGCTCTGCTCCTTTAACCCTCCTCCTCCAACCAGACACACTACAGAGGTGCATGTGACATAAACTGGGCCAATAATACCCTACCATTAATACCCTACTATATTAATACCCTACTCATTCCCTTCAGTGATTTGTTCAGGAATTGATATATGTCCCAAGTACAGCTAATCAAAGTCTTCATGGGATTGTTAAGTGGATACTGGAGTGTTAACCTATGATAATGAGAAGCTAGGGTTGTCAACAGCCATCTTGGCTCTGTGTGGGGAGAACTCATACAGAAAGAAGCCAACCTGAGTCCCGAGATTGAAAGAGAAACAGAATATTAATGATGGTGTTGGAGTCCCTTGGTTGAGCCTTTTCTGAAGCCATTCCTACTCTTAGAGTTCCCCGTTAATTAAACCAATTCATTCCTTTTACTCTTTAGCTTACCAGAGTTGAGTGTGTGTAATTTGCAATTGAAAAACTCATATCTAATACAAAATTTCTTGGTGATGAGTTTAAACACGTAGGTAAATAAAAAGTGACAGAAAATCTTCTCTAAATTAAGAGTTTAGACCAGGACTTCATCTCTGTCACACGTCTCTCAGGCATTTCTTTTCTGTTTCCTGTGTGCTAAGGAAGGCTACCAAAAGGAGGAGGAATCGTGTCCCAGAACCATGAATTTGTGAAGTTTACCTGGAATCACTAACCACGTATGCTACAGAACTGCCGATACAAGAAATAGGAGATCATAGTGCCTACGTATTCCTTTACTAATAGATTCAGATATGTCCAACACTTTATCTTAAATGTAGATTAATTTTACAAACAATAAAAACAAGATGTCATGAGTCATTAGAGAAATATATATAATTTTCATAGTTAAATGCTGGGGCCCTCTCATTTTCTTTGGGCTCTAATGCAGTACCACAAGCAAAAAACCAGAATGTTGGCTGCTTAATGATAATAAAAATGCTATCTTGGAGTATGTTGTTTACTGATGAACGGGAAAAGTCAAAACATCCTGTTATGTTAAAATTGTTTTTCTTTTGGAAGGACTATTCCACAAGAAAGGTAACCAAAGATTTCTATTCTCTATCTTTTCTTAGATAACTACTTGAAAAAGGAAATATGTCTCGTGTGTTCCACACCTCCTGATATCGTAAGGCTGAGCTAATGAAATATAATCTTTGAGCAAATTTATATAGATTCCTCACGGGAGTAAATTTTATCTCAGTGTGAAACAGTACAGTGAAGTAACTTATTATATTGATGGTATTTGAAGAAATATCAAATCATTACCTGTGGGCCACATGGCTTTCCATAAAAGTCACAATCCAACAAAGTGCTGTTGTTGAGATAAAAACCATTTTTCTTGACAAAATCTGCAATGCTAAAGTTTTGGTGACTTGCAAGAAAATCAATAGCCTTTTTAGAGCCAGTGGAATTGGCACTGATTTCTTGAAGATGGAGGACTTTGGATACAACAGTCCATAAGGAAAAAATAACACCAAATTTGGCTACAGCATATGTTTGGAACCTGTTAGTAGGAATAAAGGTAATATTTAGAATAATAAAAACTTGTTACTATCTAGAGGATAGAGACCAAACATCTAGATCGTCTCAGCTTCTCCAGCTTATCTCCTATACTCTCCCTGATTCATAATACATTTAAGCAAAATTGAATTCTCAAGAGGTCTTTGTCACATCCTGCAATATACCTTGTAATTGTACCTATAGTTTCATATACCTAGAATACCTACCTTGATTTGGATACATCCTAATGGATCTTCAAGATCCAACATAAAGAGAGGTGGGAATGTGTAGTTATTAAGAATATAGACTTAAGAGCCAGATTTCCTGGGTTCGAATTCCAGCTCTGACATTTTTGTGCCTTGGTATGGTGTTTGTCTGGCTATGCCAGAACTATATTTCCAAACGTCTCCTTCCTTGTATGTATCTGATTGCAATCTGAAGTTCTTCATAGGGCAGGAGCTGTGATCACTCACACACATTGTGGTTGGATCTCCTGACTCAACTTGTTGATATGGGGCAACAGCCAGGTCTATAGCTCCTCCAGCTCCTGTCTGATCTCTTCCTTCAACTTCTTCAAATCCTGGGTCAAGTGAGACTGCAACCTGGAGAAGGTGCCAACTTATCCTGCAGGTCACTGGCACCATCAAGATCAGTGGAAGTGAGAATGACACACACATTTCCAGCTTGTATTTGTGTCCTTCACTTCAAATCTATCTTCCTTTCTGACTGCTGATCTTGCTGACTTCAGGCACAGCACCAGAAACAGAGGCAGCAGACTTACAAAGACTGTTTGACCAGTCCCTATGATTTAGTGGGGTTTAATCCCTGTGATAAATTCCTTATTCTGTCACTCACAGTGGTTCTGTTTCTCCAGTCAAACCCTGATTGGTACAGCGACTTAATGGGATGACTTACCAAATTTCTTCGTCTCACTGTGACTCAGTTTCCTCCCATGTAAAATTGGTATAACCTACCTCAAAACGTTATTTTGATGATTAAATTATTTTTTCTAAAACATTTAGAAGGGTGCCTGGAATATTAGATAAATATTCATTAAATAAATGCCTTGTTATTGTCAGAGTATTTTCCTGGCAGTCAAATCAGGAGTAATCCATTTGCCCTAACTACTGTAAGTATTTTTTAATACTCTTATTTTGCTGAGCAATTTCTGCTTTGCATCATGTGTGGTTCTTTATTTGCATACCTTACATTTCTTTCAAAATGTGATTAGTATTTTCGTATTTTAGATATTATAAATCTTCAGACTGAACAAACTTTCTCTCTTCAAACTGAATACTAGAAAGCATAAAAGGAAATGTGTATGCACTCTTGGTAAGTGTACAGGGCCATATGGTGCATGGTTTGTATGTAACCTCACTCCTGGACTTCCTTTATGTTCCAGATGTTATATTTTATTTTCACTTTCCTTTATATTATCTTTCACGTAATTTTTCTTTCGCATACAAGCCACATTGAACCTTTCTTGGTCAAGTTAGAGCGTACACAAAACAAAAAATGAAAAAAAAAAAAACCCAAACCAACATCATATGTTCTTTTAGAGGCAAGAAACTGTTTTCATGATCAGCTCCTAACGTAATACCTTACTTAAACAGCTCTGAGCCTTGGAAGGTCTGTCTTAAAACTCACAGCCCAGGTTACTGAAGCAAGTAACTATCCTCATTTGACATTTCTTTTCTTTAGAGACACTATTAAGCTTCTGCCATGGTGGTATTCTACTAACTACAGTATATCTAACAACCTTGATTTTCTTGGTCAAAAGTGTTTTTAGTGATCTTTTGAGGAGTTAACAGCCTACATTAGCAACAGATTTTGGGAAGAAGAAGAGTTGAGGGATGAACCTTTCACGTCCTTCAGCTTCCTAATTCTCTGAATGACTGACAGGATACCCAGGATCTGCTCCAAAGCACTGCAAATTTGGAATCCTACATAGACAGAGTTAATACTGCCTCATACCATGTTCACTGGATTCTTTTCAAAGTTATTATGCAGAGAAACAGAGAAATTATCACATGTGTAGGAGGTATGAATACAACAGATAAAACGGGCATTTTAAAATATTCTAAAACTTTTATTGTTATACTAATAATGGTTGAGACCATGAGGGTAATTTAGGTAGATGAATTAAACTTAATGAATAAAGTCTAACAATATTTGGAACAAAGGAAGTGAAAAATTTTGTTAGACGTATTGTTCAGCATAAAATCAAAGTGTTTTGCTCTGAGTTTATTTTCAACTTTAATTCAAACTTCAAAATCCTCTCAGGTATATTCTTTCAGAAACCTTGCTTAAATGTAGCTTGTCTTACTCTTTTATTTAACATATATTGGTAAGAGACAAGTAAAAGAAAATAATGATAAAAATACATTGATTTGTTTAAACAGTGTAATAATTGGTAACCAATTATTAAATCTGTCATTCTTGGGTATATTAATGCCTTTAACTACACTTCCTCAAATTATATGACCCAAATGAGTAAGTTTCATTTGGTGCTCAAGTTGATGTCTGATCAGCCCTTCATTGAATCCCATCAAAACAGATCTAAGTCTACTATGTATTCACAAGAAAGGTATATTTTACAGATCATTGTATGGAAAGAGAAAATGGAGAAAAACGCCTGCTCTTTGGATTCTCCTATGAGCCAATTTTAACATCTTATAGTTCTCTCACTAATTAATGAAATCTTGACACATGTTCATTTTATATTTGTATAAGAGTCATGATTTTATCTTTTATTTAAAATCCTCTACCTTTTTTTTTTTTTGCATTTAAACAGTAGATTTGGAAAAAACAAAGAAGTACAGTGATTATTGTAAAGGTGAAGAAACAGAACTTGGGTTACTTGTTCTAAAACAATGGATCAAATATCATCAGTACTCACTATATCCAGTCATTATCTCTGATTTTGGAAAAGAAAGCAAATTTCAGAAGTTTTTACCAAATATAATAGAAATTTATGATGAATTTTATGGTGAAGGTTTTTTAGTGGAAATTTTTGACAGAGACATTTGAAAGCCAATAGGATTGATCCCAAAGAAACAAAGTCATGACAGTACTGCAATTCTTGGAATTTATTGTGAAATATGATTTTTATAAATCTCTGCCAAATGTATCCTTATGAGTTTGTCTTCCTTTGTATAGCAATTGCTTCATATGAAAGAAACTTTTCAAAATTAAAATTAATAAATATTCTTCAGTCGACTCTGAGTGATGCTATCTAACTGTACTATTAAACGTGAATACATAAAGAAGATTAATTTTGATGAAATCATTGACAAATTTGCAAAAGGCTGAAAAAGGGAAACTACAATGCTATTATTCATCACCACAACAGATCTAAAATAAAAGTCTTTCCTTTTCATTTCAAAAATACAGTAATGCTAAAAAGCATTACTGCATCACTTTTTCCCTATTTTTTAATATATATTTATTTTTTATTTTTATTTATTTATTTTTTCTAGTGAGGAAGATTGGCCCTGAGCTAACATTTGTTGCCAGTCTTCCTCTACTTTGTGTGTGGGACACTGCCACAGCATGGCTTGATGAGAGGCATGTAGGTCCGTGCCAGGGACCCAAAACTGTGAACCCCGGGCTGCTGAAGCAGAGTGTGCGAACTTAGCCACTATGCCACAGGGCTGGCCCCGTATATATTTATTTTTTAACATTTTTTTTGGAACAAATACATGTAGTCTGTTATTATAATTTTTTTAATTTCAAGATTGTAACCAAAAATAATTTTGTCATATAGAGGAAGGGAATGTTAAAAAATGACCTACTCTAAGCTGTCATATAAATTGGATAGACCCCTGATAGCTATGGTAAAAAGCAAATCCTTCCTAATAATCCAAGGTCCCTTGGCAAAGTTTCCTCATCTTGGGTAGCCATTCCTGCTGACAAAGTAGTTTAGCAGAAGTACAGGAATTGGCATTGAACAGAGACCTCTTTTCCAGCCCCTAGCTGGTAACTTGAAGTAAATTGCAATGTTAAGCCTTGCTTTCTCTCATGTAAATTGGAGGCAATGCAGCTTAGAACAATAATCTCCAAAGTGGGATGTGCATGTACTGAGGATACTCACGCACAGAGAATTTTAAGGGAATAAATTTCCAGATCCTCCACTCTTACTTAAAGTTAATAAAGAGCATTCACAATGCTTCTTCTCTCTTTTATGAAAGAGTTTTTACCTGTCATCCATCACAAATCTTGGCACGTATAACAACTTCAGGGCTCCTAACAGACCCATAAATAATTAAATTGTATCTTGCTTCAGAGAAAGACTCTTCTAAGAATTAATCAAGGCTCTTTTGAACATACTCTGAATGATTTCAAATATTTTAAATTTATTGAAGCTTGTTTTATGGTCTTGCATATGATCTATCCTAGAAAATGCTCCATGTGCACATAAGAAGAGTGTGTATGCCCCTGTTGTTGGGTAGAGTGGTCTGTAGATGCTTTTTAGGTCTAGTTAGTTTATATGGATGTTTAAGTCTTCTAAGTTCAAGTCTATTTCTTTGTTTACCCTCTACCTAGTTGTTCTACTGATTTGTGTAAGTAGAGTCCTGAAGTACCCAACTATAGTTGTTGAATTATATCGTCCTGATAGATCACCCCTTTTATCAGTATAAAATGACCCTCTTTATCTCCAGTAACATATTTTGTTCTTAATTTTGTCTACTATTAGGATAGCCACTCCAGCTTTATGATAATTACTCTTTGCATAATATGTTTTTTTGCATCCTTTTCCTTTTACTCTATCTACATGTTTGAATCTAAAATGTGTCTTGTTTTTTGTCATCCAATCTCACAACCTCTGCCTTTTGATTGTATTGTTTAACTGACTCAAATGTAATTTTCTTATTGACATAGTTAGATTTACATCTGCTATCCTACTATTTGTTCTCATGTCTTTTGTTCCTGTAATTTTTCTTTACTGACTTTTTTGCATTAAATGTTTATTTTCTAGTGTAAAATTTGAATTCCTTTAATAAT